TTGGGCCTGGCACTACGGTAGTTCCTAGACTAGATAAGATGCCCCTTCCTAGTAAGGGAGTGGGCGCCCCAGGAACACTAGAAAGGCGTTACTAAGAGTGAGATTCCCGAGACAGCAGCTCAGGAGTTGCGTGAAATGGTAGCACTGAGGATGCTCATTTACCCCGGGGATCAAACAGGATTTGGAAGGAGGCCCTGGTGAGTGGGTCAGAGCAGAGCAAGCAGCTCCCGCGTCTAATAAAATGTAATGGGCTTACCTGCCCTGTCAAGGATCACCGGAGGTTACTCTGGTGAGAAAGTCAGATGGCCGGTGGAGGTGGTGGGAGGTCTCAGGCACCTTCAGTTCTCAGGTGTTTCAACCACAATTGGTTTGGAGGCATCAGGTTCCCTTCAGAGCCCAAGATACTCATGTCTCCAGTGGCCTTCCCTCCTGCAGAGGAGGCACAGTCCTGGGGAGAGTTGATCCTGAGTCCGTTGTGGGCACTTCTTCTCTGTATTGTCCTTCTTGTCTGCAGGAATAACATTGCCTCTTTGTTTTCCATGGCATTTTGGGGTTAGGTGACGCTGAAGTGGCATAAGACTGCTGCTAACAAGTGAGCCTTTTGTGCCCCTCAGGGGGCTTTTTGCTCTTCATCTGCCCTGTCTCCATTGTTAAAAGCCCTGAAAGGTATTTCTACTTGTTGCTCAGGAAGGTCTGAGGTCCCAAGGCTTGTTTGTATAACTCCCTCCTGATGTGGGGGCTGCCTGCTGGATAAAATGCATTCCCAGAAGTGCTCAGCCCTCGGCAGACTCAGGGGCAATGTTTGCGGACTTTCTTAAAGCTTCTGTGAACAACCTCCAGAAAAGGGCAGAGTTTTCATCCCTTGCCGAGCAACCTCTTTTATTTTGTTACGCTTAACAAAATTAATAGTCCATGTTTTATCGCTTCTATCAGCCAAGTAACCATATGGGTCCAGCAGTCCCTTCCCTCATCCTTAGTCTGTCCCAGTTTGATAGACCCAGTAGGGTCCTGATCTAGAATTGCTTGTCCACCTGGTTGGTATATAGGATGTTGTGTGAGATGATGGGTTAATTCATTAGCATAAGCCCTTGCAGCTTCTATGTACACTGCCTTCCATTTACAGAGCATAAGTGTTGTTAAGTGATTAAATACCTCTGTGAATTTTCTAGAGTCTTTGGAAAACCAACCAAGTTTTTCTTTGCAAAGAGCCAGGTCATGCACAGGAAATGGAACATGTACCCAAATAATTCCTCCACAAGGTTCCCCTTAAAACGACTTCCTTCAGAGTTACCATGTTAAGGTTTGGGTGACAATGAGTTCTGCTCCTGGTAGTGGCAGGACTATCAGCAGGGGCAGGTGTCAGCATTTCTGCAGTAGACGAGGGATTAAACAGCAGCAGCTGCCCTTTGCAGGGCAGCAGGGGAATGAGCTGGAAGCAGGCTATTCCTCCATTCTGCTGGATTCTGTTTGCTCCACTAAGTTCGGAAGTTAGCGTCTAGCCCTGGCTATGAAGAAAATGCCTAATTTATCTGAGATCCTGGCAACACACATCCTACAAGATTTTCTTAAATGTCTATCTAGATTTTTAAAAAAACAAAAAAAACAAATGTGGTACATTTACACAGTAGAATACTATGCAGCAGTGAAAAAGAAGAACCTCTTACCCTTTGCAGTGGCATGGATGGACGTGGAGAATATTATGCTAAGTGAAATGAGCCAAACAATGAAGTAAAAAGAACACATAATCTCACTTATATGTGGAATCTAATAAACACAATAAACTAGTGCATAAAATAGAAACAGAACCTTACATACATGGAACAGACTGGCAGTGGCCAGAGGTGTGGAGGGGGGAAACTGGATGAAAGAGAGTGAAGGGATTAACCACAGAAGAACATTCATGTGTGATCCAAGGACACAGACAGTGATAAGGGGATTGACTGAGGGACTGGGGACAGTGGGGCTGGGTGGACGTAGGAAAAGGGGGGAAAAAGCAGCAACAACTATAACAGCATAAATAATTTTTAAAAGGCCATACACATCTGAATATAAGGTGCTTACATTTGCTTTCATTTTTGCAAAACAAACCTAATTAGAGAATAGTGTTATACTTCAGAGATTTATTTATAGGCCAGACTCCTTCCCTGTCCCCAAGATTGTACTGAGGCCGGCTGACACTGCGGAAGAAAATGAAGGGATTAGCCAAAGAACACGTCTGCGTGTCACAGAGACACAGACGGCAGTGCGGTGATGGCCAGAGGGAAGGGGCAGGGGAATGCGGACATCTGCAATGGTGTCGAGAATGAAAATAAAGTTAAAAAAGATGAGGCATTATTTCTTCGGCTTGTGGCTCTTAAAGTTGGACCAGCCGTTAAGGAGGCACCCCAGGTGGGATCTCAGGCCCGTTTTCAGCGCCACCGTTTTGTCTGTTTTACCTGGTGACTGGTTGTGAGCCTCTAGCACCAGGGGGTGCGACAAAGACGAAGCCTCAATTCTGCTATTGCTTCAAGTTGTATAAATTTTGTTCAATTCGATTTGAAAATTTACTTTTAGAAATTTGTGATTTAGAATAACAATTTTTTCATGGATTTTTTAAAGATAAAACTTATTTATAAATGTATCAGAGTAAAACAATGGTTCTCAAAAGACAAAAACTTAAAATGACATAGTTATAGATCTGATTATACCATAAATGATGTAGAATTTTGTTACTTTTTTGAGATATAATATGCCAAAATAATAATTAGAATCACAAATGCAAATACATTAGGATTTTGTAAACTTTGGAGATTTTTATATACTTTCAAGGACATTTATTTTAAAATGAAACATAAACATATATAAATAAGACATAGTTATTATATTTTTTATTCGACAGTGTTCCCCATGTGTTTCAGGCCTATCAAACAGGCCTCATTAGTCTAAAATCTTGCATTTGTAAGGATGAAGAGCAAATCTTTGAGGCATTCCAGGGACCCTTTGGAATAGCCCAAAGCCATTTATTTCTAAGTTAAGAAAAGGTCTTTTAAATTTAAACCCTGGGAGCTTGTCAAACCATACATCACCATCACCTAAAGATTATATATTAGTATGAAATAACATTAAACTATTTATTTACCTAAAGTGACATAAATAAATGAAATATAAATACAGGCTGACAAACTTTAGTTCTTAAAATTGAGAGAGATAATTTATCTTAAGAGTTAATTAAGGACCTGATCAACAAAATATAATGCATAACTATTTTTTAGCTTTTCTGTAATAAAAACTAAAGCTAAGTGTACTTAAGACTTTTCTGGTAAATAATGTTTTACTATCTTATGTTAATAACTCCAAAAGTTATTAATAACAGTTAAGTCAGTTTTAGGGGAGAGTTTCAACAAAATTATTTTTCCAGACCACATGCTCCTGAAAAAAAAACATTTGGGATAGTTTTTTGTTTGTTTCTTTGTTGTTGTTGTTTGTTTGTTTTTTTTTACTACGTACATGCACAGTATTAATCATTGTAGAGAAGAAAAAATTTTGTATTTGTTCTTGACAGCTTTTAAGGAGCCTGGAGGAGGGGGAAGAAAGGTATCAGGCTTGGGCGCCGTCAGCTGCTTGAGTTTTAAAGGTGCACTTTCCTGTTACTACCTCACCCTTGCTCCCACTGCTCACGGCCCAGCAGAAAACCTGCTGAGACTCTCAATGGAAGCTTTGAAGGCCCGTGGAAACAAAAAAACCTTGGCCCTAATTTAAGGAAGTACACGTGTAACATCCCAAGGAGTGTTCCAACAGGAGAAAGAAAAACCCCGTGACATCCAAAAGGTGAGACGTGGCGTGACCAGCCAGAAGTTGTCGAAACAGGCCAGGAGATGCAGAATGAGGAAAGAAATGTGCTGTGGCCGTGTTTACCCCGTGCCCTGGGGGCGTCCTTATAAGGACCAGGGCGGTAGTCAGACGCCCTGGGGATGGATTCTCCCCACTCAGACAGGGGACTTAACTCCACACCCACCAACCATGGGGGAGGGAAGGGGTCCCTTCAGATGCCAGGTAATTAGGTCCTGACCCACCAGATCCTGTCACCCAGGTGACAACTGGGGATGTTCATGTAGGTGGGTCACTCTGTCCAGAAGGCAGGCCTATATTCTGTCTCAGCTTTTACGAGGGGAGGCGCCTTGCGACAAAAGACCTACACCGCAGCAACAGGTAGGTTTCCCCGACACCGCCTATGCGAAGTGACAGGAGGGATGAATTAGAGAAACAGAAAGGAAGAGAAAACAACTCCAGGTCTCATCTGTGTCACCAAAGAATGCCACAGCACAGAAACCAGGTCCAGAGGTGGTCTGCCTAGGGCCCGCCAGTAGTGTGTGGGTTCTTGACTTTGTGCAGGAAAGGTTTCACAAGTCCAGGTGATTTTGTGTGTATGTCTATTAAAGCTGGGGACAGTAAATCAAAGGGAGGACTTAGGGTAGAAGAGACAATAGGAGAGAGTCTAGGGGGTGCTCTGCTTTGGCTTTTTAGAAATGTCATAGGAAAGGAGTAAGCCACGCTGGCTGCATGAGCTCACAGAGAAGTAAAAGTCACAGTGACTGAAGTGGACCAAGGCAGGCTGCTCTTAGCTCACTGGAAAGTCAGGGAAAAGGGGAACTTGGAGAGAGACTCAGGAGGTAAGGCCAGTATGAGCTGTCGCTGCCTGCTGCTCCCCTGGTTCCAAGTCTTGTGGAGACCCTTAGAGTTTAGGAGAGAGAGTAAAAAGCTCATGGCTGAGGAAAGGCTTGGGTGTGCCCCAGAGAGGTCCTGCACTGACATCCTTTGTCTTGAGGGTTTTCTGTCTCTTCTTTGGGTTTCAGTTTTAGGGGAGGGTTTCAGCAGAATATTCATCAGCTCTAAAACAGGATGAATAAACTCATAATGGGTTGCAATGCCCAAGTAAGTTAATGAAGGCAAAAGTTCTTTTTTAATGTAAACATTAGTGCACATGTGAAGGATGATTCAACTGCATTTATTTTTTTAGCAGCATGAAATCAATGACTTCAGCAGGACCCATGGCCAATACTGTGGTTGTGGCAGGGCCCCCCAGCACACATTCTGTAATCCCGGGGAGCACACCTCAGGTGCCCCTGTATCCACACAGCCTGCCCCAACTCAACCTAAATCCTGGAAACCAACCTGGCTTACAGCTGCCTGCGAGTGCACAACCAGCCCAAACAACCCTGAAAGAGGGCAAAATCTTAGGGGTAAGTGAGCTTTCACCGTGCAGGCTGGGACCACACACGTGACTGGAGTCGGGGTGGGAGGAGGGTTGGAAATACAGAAACTCCAAATCCACAAGTGGGGCGGGGGCTGACCCAGCCTTGCCAAACTCAGGTCTAGTAAGGAGCTCAGCTGTGGAGCATCACCAGGGCCTTGGCATGAGGCCTTATATTTTCTAACTTAGGCATTATATGAAAGAGAAAGAAAAGCAACAAAGAAGCAGAAAATTGGAAGGTTTATCCTTTTGCCCAGAATCCATGTTGATCATGTGGCCTCCAGAAGAAAATGGAGCAGTGAGCGAGCCACAAGGGGTAGTCTAAAGCCAATGTGCTTGAATGGAATCTTTGCCAATTGTCAACAAAATAAGAGCTCACAATGATTTTTGCCCTGGAGGGTCCTCCTAAGTAGGATGGGGGAAGCCCATTTCGATGCATGGTTAACTAATGACACACAAGGATTCTGATCCAGGCTTCTCTAGCTCCATCTCCGTATACTCCTCACAGGAATGTCAATCAATGCAACCTGTGTGGAGAGCTATCTTCATCTTCAGAATTTTAAAATACCCAATAATTCCATTTCTGAAACTTTGTCCTGTGGACCATGTTTCTGTGCACATGGGAAATATGACATGCATGAGGTTATTGCAGCCGTGGTTTGTGATAGGAAAAGAATGGGAAAAAACAAAATATCCATCACTATAATACTGGTTAAATCAGTGTATTGTACAACCAAGAATGAAATTTTGTAGTGCTATTAAAAAAAAAAAATGTGTCTTGCATAACAATATGGAACTACCCCCAAGCTATATCACTAATAGGAAAAAATTAGAGGCAGACATTGTATATAATTTGCAACCATTTATGTAAATTTACAGGAATAATATATTTGTATTCACTGTCATGTTTGTAGTATATACACATATACATATAAATATATATTAATGTATTTATATCATTTGGGCAATAATATATAGCAGTTTCCTAGAGCTGCCATAGCAAAGTACTGCAGATGGAATGGCTTAGAACAACAGAAGTTTACTGTCTCGCAGTAGTGGAGGCCAGAAGCTCATAATCAAGGTGTCCATGGGACCCTTTTTCCTCTGAAGGCTCAAGGGGAGGATCTGTCAAGGCCGGTCTCCAAGCTTCCAGTAGGACCTTGGCTCGAAGCAGCATGTCCCTACCTTGGCATTCTCCTGTGTGCACGTGTGTCTCTTCACACGGTATTCCTTTAAAAGGATAGCAGTCCTATAGGATTAGGAAAAACCTTATTCAAGTACACCTCATTTTACCTAATTACATCTGCAGCAGCCCTATGTCCAAATGAGGACCCTTCCTGAGAGTCTGGAGACAGGAACTTCAACATACTAATTTGATGAGGGAGAGGCAGACACAATTCAATTCAAAACAATATCCCAGAGAAATGAGATGAGCAGAGACTTATCTACAAAGGTGTTCATCGCAGTATTGTTTATAATATGAAAACAAAGAAACATTCTTACCTGCCCAATAGCTCTATTCTACCTACTCCAGAGCCATTTTGTATTATCACTGTAGATATTTGAAAAATTAATAGAAGGTTATAGACCAAAATGTAAGTGGTTGTTATTTCTGACTGACGAGAAATTATGGGAAGTCTTCCTTTCATGTTTACATTTTCCATATTACTTTTTAAACCAAGAAAACAAATTTATTAAAAATACAATGGAGGCAAGGAAGGGGGGTTGCAGGGGAAAGGATTCATCACAGAAACAAAGGTCTCACCTTGTGGCTCCCCGGCAGGCCCTCCAGATCCTGATTGGCCTCATACACATTGGCCTCCAGAGCATCCTGGGTGCCACCTTATTTGGGGGCTATGAAGGTATCTCATTTGTTGGAGGCTGAGCTTTCTGGGGAGGCATCTCGGTAAGTAATATGAGTCACCTTGCAAATGAGTTCCAGAATCCATGTTGATCATGTGGCCTCCAGAAGAAAATGGAGCAGTGAGCGAGCCACAAGGGGGAGTCTAAAGCCAATGTGCTTGAATGTGGCCAATACACTCAGGGCCACTTTGTCAAGTTGTATACTTTGCTGCAGGAGGTTTGCAGTCAAGAGAGCCTGTGGGCTGTGAACCCAGCTCAGGCCTTGGTCACTAAGAACGTTAGTCTGCTTGCATAGCCAGAACAAATAGCACAGACTGGGTGGCTCAACAACAGACATTTATTACCTCACAGTTCCAGAGGCTAGAAGTCCAACATCAAGGTGTCAGTGGGAGTGTTTCTTCTGATGCCTCTCCGGCTTACAGAGGGTCATCTTCCTCCCTGTGTCTTCACAGGGACTGTGGGTCCATGCCCTAATTTGTCTTCTTATAAGAACACCAGTCATATTGGATTAGGCCCAGCCATGTGACCTCATTTAACGTTCATCACCTCTTTAAAGATCCTACCTTCAAATACAGATGCTCCTCAGCCTGTGATGGGGTCACATCCCAATAAACCCATCACCAGTTGAAAACATCCTAGGTCAAAAATGCATTAAATATTACACCGTAGAGTATGAGTTGTTCACCCTTGTAATCACTCTCCTGACGGGGAGCTGTGGCCAGCTAATCACGAGAGAGCATCTCACCACATACCACTCACCCAGGAAAAGATCAGTATTCAAAATATAAAGAACAATTTCTACTGAAGGTATATCACCTTCACACCATTGAAAGTCAACAAAATCATACATCCACCATCATGAGTCTGGAACCATCTTTACAGTTATATTCTGAGATACTGGGGGTTAGGACTTGAAAAGATTAATTTTGAGGGGACACGATTCAGCTCATAATACCAAGTGACAGCCCTGTAGGGTGCCACGGACCCAGATTGGGCACCTTTGCTAATTAGCTCCCCTCGGAGGTCAGGAAACCTTCTTCCAGATCATCAGCCCAGAGGTGGCATCTTTTCCAATTCACACAAGCAACGATGTGTTGGGAATAGCACTCAATTATTGCTCAGTGCAGGCCCCCAGCCTGAGCTCCAGGAGGGAACCACTTCCACCAGTTGTTAAGAATGGTTGCCCAGCCTTATGACAGTCATTCAGCGGAGGGGACTCAACCAGGAATTTACAGATGGCCTCAGAGTCCACTTTTGGAATAGTATTTTGTACATGACTCTCTTTTCTGGAAAAGTCTGTAGTTTTTATCACATTCTCAGGGTGATCAGTAACCCTTAAAAGGTTAAGAATCGCAGGTCCTTTCCCTTCTCCAGTGTCTTGCCTTTATTATTCCCTTGCAGTCTCCTCAGTGTCCTCCCTCCTGCACACACGCCCACACAGTCCCTTCTTCTCCTCCCTCCCATCTCCCATCTTCTTTCTCTTCCTGCTATGACATAATCTGTCTCCTGAACCACACACTTATCTGTGACTCAGTGCAACTTTTCTCACAAATAGCAAAACTCCAGACTAACCTAAACAACACCCAAGACACTCCAACCCATAAGGTTGAAGTAAAATAGTCTGGACTGATTTGCCACACTCATGCACACACAGCCTCTGTAAAACAGTAGGACTTACGTTCTTGGGAGCACTTTTGTCTGATAACCTTTCTCTCTTGTTCCCATCCATGTCTCACCCCTGAGTCTGAGATCCTCTCTTGGTTCTGCACAGACCCAGACTGAAAACTCTTACCCAGTTCCTTTGCTCGGCCATGGCACCTGTGTCTGCATAACAGACTGCAATGGGGTTTCGGGCCGTGGAGATGATAGTACCACAGCCACAGAGCAGCTGCTATTGAGCATTAGAGTCTCTTATATCTCTGTTCTTAAGTGCCCAGTGGCTGCCTCAGCAGCTCAAACGCGTGGGTGTCCATCAGCCTTCATGATGCCTCCTTCCCTTTTTTCTGCAGGGCGATTCTGCTCTTTGTTGCCTCCTCCACTCCATGAGTATCATTCTGTTTCCTCGAGATCATTAGTGTCCTCCAACAGATCAAGGCCGATGGCCTTGGGTTCCTCAAAGGGACCAGCAGGGACATCAGAAGTCCAGCCTTCTGTTTCCTTCCTTCACCATCAAGTCTCTACAGAGGGATATAAGATTGAGATTTATTATTCATTTACAGGAGAGTCGTCATGCCCTTTAGAAGGCTCAGGCAGCCAGAGCAAGTTTTTCTAAACACCCCTTTCCACTGCAGGGCTCATGCATCTACCCTGAGGGGGAGGGACTATAGAATGAGGGTTAAGAACATGAGATCTGGAGTCAACTACCTAAATTTGATTTCCATTTCTGCTACTAGCTGATGGTCTCATTTGGGTTACTTGAAATCTCTAAGCATCAGTCTACCCCTCTATCAGATGAGACTAGTAATGGTGTTTGATGGGCCATCATACAGCTAAATAAGGCAAGGTTGGAAGCACTTCATGTAAAGCTTGGCAAAGCTTCCATGAACCCCTAGGTAACACCCTCTCAGACCCTCCGTGACAGCAGGGAATCCCATCAGCCACTCTGCCTGCAGAACATGACTGTTGAAATAAATGCATACAATGTAGTCCATCGGCCTCATATTTGAATTTCAACACCATAGAGATGCAACATGCTTTGCAGTAACCAAAAGTGACTCATCAAATTATAGACAGGCAGGGACAATGTTGGGGAACCCCTTCCATCACCCAACAAGAGCCCCCATGCCTGACTGAATTTTGGAAGGAGACCAAGAAGTTGTGCATGTGGGGAAATAAAAGATAAGGAAATAAATAACTTTCTGAGTGTCTACAGTATACAGGATCTACCAAGGGCAAGATATAACAAATGCCAGATTCAAAAGACAAGTTATCTCAGGACAATGACACTTAGGAGGAAGACATGCAGTTTATCCCATTTTGTGGATGAGAAGATGCACACACACAGAAATTAGTAACTAAACCAAGAGGAGCTTCATGCTAGAATTTAAAACTAGGTCTGCTGTATCCTAGAATCTATATTTATTCCAGTTCAATGCCCTGTCATGTGGTACAAAACAGCTCATTCATTCATTCATTCTTTTCCCCATGTTGAGCTACAGGACCCAGCAGGGGAACTTAGGGTGTGTGAAAGCTTATGTGTGTGACTAGAATCACAGGAGCCTGAAGGGGGGCTCCTGTGACCTCTTTCTAAACTCCCTCTCCTTTGCCAGTTCATCATTTCAGGATCCCTCTCAGTGGCATCAGAACAGCAGCCAAACTCTCCTTGCCTGGTAAGTCACATGCTGAGACTGGCTCTCCCTGCTGTAGAACTAAAGGAGGGACACACAACAAAGTAAAGAAGCTAATACACAATCCCTCCTCCATCCTTGCACCTGCTCATAACCAGAAACACAGGGCACTGACACGCATGCTCACTCACACCCACGTACAGGACCACGCCAAGCTGGCCAAGTCACAAGTAGGAAGGAGTCCAGAAGATTCAGGGGAAGGAAGGTATATACAGCCATCTTTGTTAAGGCATCAGGGTGTGGAAATGAAGAAAACTTTCCTAAGAAGATGTTACAGGAAGAGGCAAAAAGCTGCCTGGGGCTCAGGGCTCCCCTCCAGAGAGCAGGGCACTGGGACTGCCTGCAGCGCATGGAGCCGACCTCCAGACAATTCTACAGGGAAGCCAGGGGAGGCTCAGGCACGGGCTTCTCTAGGAATCCAGACTAACCAACACGGGCAAGTCTCTCGGGTCCCCTGGCAGTGGACCAAGGAAGTACCTTCGTTTCTCTCACAGCAGGTTATCTAGGGCAAGGGGCCCCGGGATGGCCAGGTCCCACACCAGATGAGATCTATTTGAAAATCTCCCAAGGGGAGCTCAGTTCTGGGCATGCCTTTCTGCACCTGGCCCAGAATCACAGAGCATCAGAGCCTGTCGCATCCCAAGACACTGGGGCCGAGTCGCCTCCATATCTCCCATGGGATAAGTGGGTCAAGTGTTTCCCAAAGATTGCCCTTGGAGATATTTGTCCCAGGAGATACTTTATGAAGATTGGGAGGAAAAAAATCTCTATTTAGTAGTCCCCTCTCTGGGAGATAATAATTTTCATTAAAGGCTAGGAGAAGTTTTGAACATCAGACCTGTTTAATTTTGTTTGACTCAGGTTTTTTCAATGTTCATGTACCCCCAAAACTTTTTGCACAGAACAACTCTTTACTTGCTGCAGAGCTAGGGTTCCAGAAATTCACAATAGGAAACATTTATCGAGTCTGCTCATCGGAGCTGCAGATGCTTTTCTCTCCCACCCTAACCCTCTGTGTCGTCTTCAGCTGAAGGGCAGCTTGGGCATGAACATCGTCAGTGCGATCTTTTCTGCGATGGGAATCTGTCTCTTCATCACAGATATCTGTATTAACTACCTATATACCTACCTCAACTGGAGTGTGGTGAGTATCCCTCTTGACCAACACTCCCCTGGGTTCCAGCTCAGCTGTGCTTAGGAAATCATTGGAAAGACACCTGAACACTTAACTTCTTCACCAAACACTATAGCAAACAGAGGTGCTGTCAGATCAGAACGGAGTTTAAAGTCCCTGTCCTGTAGCTGTATTGCTATTAGTCTAAGCATGTGACTTTTATTAGTCTTAGACTCTATATTTAGAAATCAGTACCTACCTTTTGACATTGTTGGGAGAATTAAATGCAGTTATACATATAACACACAAGTACCCACCAATCTGCATCTCTACTCACATGTTCGCCTTCCTGGCTATTACCATGGACAACAGGTCAGCAAAGGTCTTCTGCACCGGGTCAGATGGTGAATACTTAAGGCGTTGTAGGCCCTCTGGTCTTTGTAGCAACTACTCAAGCCTGTGTGAAAACAGCCATAGAAAATGCATAAAGGAATGAGCTGTCAAAGGTTGTAGACCAGTGCTATCCAGTGGAAATATAATGTACTCATGTATGTGATTTTAAATTTTCAGTTTCCACACTATACAGTGAAAAAATGGAATGGGTGAAATTAATTTTAATACCATTTATTTAACTCAATGGATCCAAAAATCTCATTTCAATATATATCTGTATAAAACAATTATTAATTCAATATTTTGCATATTGGGGGCCACGTCATTGAAATCCAATGTTTATTTTGCATTTATATCATCCCCGGTCCTTGGGGGACTCGTGGCTACCGGATAAGAAAGTCACAAATGAGCCCCCTGTAAACTCAGTGTCTCCCTCTGCACTGCAGCCCTGCCCCCCCCCCGCCCTCCCCCCCACTCACGGTGTCACCGCAAGTGCTTCTCCCCTCTCCCAGGCCCCCACCTCTCTTCTACATCTATTTCCCCCTTTTGCTAGAGCTTTTCATCATTATCTAAACATGCTTTTGTTTCCTTCATCTCACAAAACAAACAAACCCTTCCAGTTACTGCAGCTGCCACCCTGTCTCCAGAAAAACCCTTAAAAGAGTTGTCTGCCTTACTCTCTCCACTTCTTTCCTCTCATAACCTCTCTTGAACCGACTCTAACCACAGACACGTTCAGCCTCACTTCTCCAAAAGCTTCCTTGGCTCAAGGTCCCCAAATTCCTCCGTTTGGAGACTTCCCAGGGTCTTCCAGGCCCTGCAGCTGGTGTCCCCCGCCCACAATTGTTGTTCTCTTCTCTGTCTCCCTGGCTGTTTCTTTTCCTGTCCCGTCTCTCAGGCTCAGTCCTCGGTCTTTGTCTCTCTCTCTCTGTACTCACTGCCTTGGCAATCACATCCGGTCTGATGACTTGAAACACTTTCTCTCTGACAATGACTCCCCCGACCTGCCTCCCCAACTTCAATCTCTTGCATCCAGTTGTCCACGCACCGTCTAGAAATTAACACACCCAAATCTGATCTCCAGATTTTATGTCCCAAACTTTCTCACGGGTTTCCTTTTCCCCATTGAGGGCAACTGCATCCTTCCAGTCACTCAGCGCAAGACTCTGGTGAAATTACTGACCCTTTCTTTTCTCCTGCACCTGCCAGCCAATGCCTCAGGCAATCCTGCCGCTTTCACCTTTGAAATGCACCCAGATTCCAGCCACAGCCACCACCACCTGGCTCCTGAGCTCAGTTCTGCCAGGGTCTGCTCTTGGAAACAACAACCCCCTCCAAGCCACCCACCCCGCCTCGGGCCTCAACCCTTGCGTCTGGAGAAGAAGGGCTGGACTTCATCACAGTTTTGCAAATGATAAGCCAATGATGCGGTGCTCCCAGGGCTCAACGAGCATGAATGAATGCTCCCCAGATAATAAATATCATCTAAGCTGCTTGAGGAATCCTTTGTCCCTTATGGACATATTTTTATCTTTTAATTATAGTTGACATATAAAATTATATTAGTTTCAGGTGTACAGCATAGTAATTAGACATTTATATACCCCCCATATTCCAATACTTGTATGACACCACACATACTTATTACAATATTCTTGACTATGTTCCCTGTGCTGTACTTCAATTTACCTCCCTCTGACTATTATAACCAGGATTTTGTACTTTTTAATCCCTTCATCATTTTCATCCATCCCCCAACCCTTCTCCCATTAAAAAGTTTGATTTGTAAAAGAATTTTGGCCCTGGCTGGTGTGGCTCAGTGGTTTGAGTGCTGGCCTGTGAACCGAAGTGTTGCCGGTTTGATTCCCAGTCAGGGCACATACCTGGGCTGTGGGCCAGGCCCCCAGTGCAGGGCGTGTGAGAGGCAACAACACACTGATGTTTCTCTCTCTCTCTTTCTCCCTTCCTTCCCATCTCTGTAAAAACAAATAAAGTCTTTTTTAAAAAAAAAAAATTCATTGTTAAAAACACATTTGAAAAGGACCTACATTATTTGTAAAGGCTCCTCCTCCCTAAGCTTCTGTGATTCCTTCACTAAGACGTCATCATCCTGCATTTCCCTTTGTGTGGACACCCTGTCCTGCGCCACCATCTCTAAATCTCCTGCTAAGCATGGACCTCTGTCTCCTCAGTGCCCCAGGCAATTTTCTGGCCCTTTTATAGCTCTTATCATTTCTGATGTGAATTGTCTATCTACATCTGCATCTGCCTCCCTCACAAGATTGTCCCTCTCAGAGTGCCTTCTTAGCCACTTGTACCAAACAGATGTTTAACAAATACTTGCTAAATTTTGAGGGAAGAGGAAGAAGGTACTAAGGAAGTTTCTCCAAAAAGGATTCTCTGAGCAGCTGGCTGTCACCCCCGCCATTTTAAAACCATAATTAACAAATATTTTTTGGTACCTACCATGTGTCAGGCACGTTCACTTTCATATTTATTCTCTCCTATAATAGGAATCTAAGTGATTATTGGGGTCATTCGTCCCTTGTCCTTTAGGATTAAAGTGGATTTTCTACACCAATTCTCTCCCCAGATACAGGAACAGACCCCATTCTCCTGGGTATTCTTGGAGGAGAGCAGGGGAGGGCTTAGATGTCTCCTGGTCCTCAGGTGAAATCTACTGCTGCTGAATTAGTTCAACTTGGGGATCTTTTAACTGACTTTTTCCCAAATTCAAGACAGCCCCAATTATTGCTCTCCACCAAATGCTGCTGTCAGAAGCCAGGAAGGTCATTTCAGTAGCCCACTTTGTCTAAAGGTTCAGAGGGATGGTGGAGGTTTACGCTGGATCCCAGGCAGCTACTGAAGGCTGAAGATTACACGTCCCTGTTTTGTCAAGTCCTCATTTCCCACAGGATGCCTTTGTCTCCGGGCTCCCCTTCCCGTCATGTTGCTCCGCCCCATCTTTCTCCTCTAACCCTCTCACTCTCCTCCCTGCAGCTTGTCCATGCTCCGAAATTTCTGTTCACTTCCTACACAGAACGGTTCCTCTCTCTCACTCTCTGACCCCAGACCACATTCTTAGGGCTCGTCCCCTGTACGTGAAACAAGTTATCAAGGTGTTTCCCTAAACAACGACTATTCTTTCCCTTACAACAACACTGATAGTTATTGTTAAAATAATTTTTTTACAAACACACTTGATCAGCACCAAAACCTGGGGAGATATTTTCTCCGTGAGGCTGAGACAAGTTTAGAGGACCTCCTCAACACCATAGCCGTGGTCCATTCAGAGGCACACTTTGAGTCAGACCTTGGACTCCCAGAGCAGCACTAATAACCTTCCAGTTTTCTGGTGCCAGAAACCTGGAATGGCTACATCCGGCGGGCTGCTGCTGCTCATCTTCAGCCTCCTGGAGCTCTGGATTACCTCCGTATGTGCCCATTTTGGCTGTCAACTGCTCACCTACGTGATTCCAAAGATCCTCAGTGGGTGAAAGATGCCCCAAAGAGGATGGAGACTGGAGGGATCTTCAGGCTTCCCCTTGCTGTAAAAGAGCAGGGGTGTCCAGTAGTGGTCAAAGGCCTCCATGTGTGCAAGGTTCTCACCAGAGCACCTCCTGTGCTGTCTTTTCCGGGGGACCGTGGTCTACCAAACCATCTACGTGGCAAACCAAGTGGCTGTCCCAGAACCAGTGAACTTGCCACTGTCTTATTCCATATGACGCAGGACTCCAACTAGGCCAAAGGTTCTAGAAGCATCTTTCACTGGGACCAAAAGAAAACCTCCCCTTTCTGTGCTATGGAAACTTATCTTTTTCCTTCCCTGACAAACTAAGGAACATGGCTCTCCAACTGTGTGCGCCCTGGACTTCATTTACTTCAGCCTGGTAAATTGTGCTGTGCCTCTATTAAGAACAAGACACATTTCAAGTGGATTTTAGCAAAATGGTCCACCCCAGGCAGCCACTTGTCAGGATGTCGTGTCGTGTATTCATGTGCTTACTTGTGTGGGCTTAGAAGTTAGAGGAACCAATGTCGAAACGGCCCAAGCTTCATTCTCTCAATCATTCACTTATTGAATAAATATGCACTGAATATTGGATTCAAGCCTCTATTCATGGCAGGGGAATGGTGAACATGGATGAGCACACAAAGGCCTTGATGTCAAGGAACTTCTGCTTCACAAGGGAAGACTACACGCAAGCCGCTTTCTGTAACGCAAGGCAGAAGGCAGGGATGGACAGAGAGGAGAGAGTGGGAAATGATTTATGCTGGCAGTGATGGAGAGAGCAGAGAACAAGCCTGGCTGAGGAATCAACATTTGTTGGGTCATTAAAAGAGAGAGTGGGGGTTTTATTTTTTCGTTCTTTGTTGCTGGGGTTTTTGTTTGTTTGTTTGTTTGTTTTTTAGTGCAGTAAGAAACTGCAGCTTTGGGAAGACCTTTGGAGACACTGGGTCATCCACTAACATGATCAATTTTTCATACACAGTTACCACTGATGCAGCACTACTCAAGAACGGTGTCTTAATATATCTTCCAAAATTATGATGCTCATATATCATTATATATCAAAATAGGGACTAATTCAAAGAGAAATGGCTACGTCTATATCTTCTAGATTTGCACACATTAATTTAAATACTGTTATCCATGATGACCAATTGACTTCCAAATGGTTATGTGTCAACAGATTACAGCAACAATCTCTAAAGTCCAGGTACCATCACATTTTCTTTTACTGCAGAAGTCTGGCAATAACTTTTGTTGTTGTTACTAAATACAGAATATGATTTTACTCTTATATGTATATTTTAGGCTCTGACTTTACCTAAGAAGTTTCCTCTAAATGGCTTTCTGCTGAGTTCTGTCTGCTTCTGCACCTGCATCTTCTCTGACCAGGCGCCCTTGGCTTCCCATCAGCTGGTCAGAAATGGCTGATGTTCCAAAGCCTCCAGTGACTTTTCTAGAACTGTTCAGGGCTTAGGAAACCACAGGCAACAGAAATGGAGGATGGAGCATGTAACATTCTGGTTTCAGACCAGCCCTCCACCTATGTTTTATAAGCTGAGATGTTCATTCATTCATTTCCCCAAGAAGGGCTGACCTGTGTGGACCATTCTCAGAGTGTGAGGTGGTCAGAGTGAGCCTGGCCGTCTCTCCATCTTCTTTAGCGTTGCGTCTCAGTGCCCCATCCAATTCCATACCTCCTCATCTGCAGATCTCCAATTCTCCACCTAGATCCTCCAGTCTTCTCTCAGAGCTTCCTTCCTGACTCGTCTGTTTGTGAGTTAACACACACCCCAGATGTGTCTCAGCTCCTACAGTCTGGATTGCCTCAGAAAAAGCAACTTGAAACACACTTTATGCTTCTTGAGAGAGGTGACTCTGCCACCTGCCCTGCTGAAATCACCAGGGGGCTTGTTGGAACTGAGTCCCTTTCCCCTCCTACTACCTACATTATTCGTTGTGTGTGCCAGGCCCCTCATCCCAGAGGGCCCCTTCACCAGCTCGGGTGACACATCACTGCCCCCCGCGGGCAATGACTTGTGTGCCTGCTCTGCACTTCTCCACAAGCCAATCACCTCCATTCACTCTCATCCCCTCCAGACAATGACACATAAAAACTGGAAGAGACCTGGGAAATCTATGGATAGATAGAAACACGCAGGTGGAGAGGAAAGCAATTTTTCCAAGGTTATCAGCCCAAGGTTATGGGGAGCATAAGCAAGGCCAGAACCAGAACCCCAGAAGGCCAGTCCAGGGCTCCTTGCAGAGAAGCAGAGACACCTGGTGGGAAAAGCAGGTGATTAAGGTCAGACGACAGAGTCTCTGCAGCCTTAGCAACCACCGCTCTCAACGCAGCATTCTCTCTATTCTCTCTCTAATAGTGTGGGTGACCACACTATGGTCACCAAAGTCTCCGACACATCCCGTGTTGTCAAGCTCAGTGGTTTTATTTCCAGCCTTACCTTTCTTGACCAACAATGCACACTCTGTTTAAAACACTGTCTCCTGGTTCTGTCCTCTGACCTCTCCAGATGCCGACCCCTCATTCTCCTCCAGCAGCTCCTCTTGTGCCCCAAGCGTTGCTCCCCAGTATGGCGCTGCCCTTGGTCCTCTTCGCATTCTGAGTACACTAGGCCATCTCTGGGAGCTTGAGATTCAAATCTGAAGCAAGACTGTGAGATTCAAATGCGCTAATTAGTGTACAAAAGCACTGCAAATTTTTTGTGCCATTTTTGGATCCCACAACTTCATTGTCTAATTTGGGATTTCTTATGAAAGAAGCCATTCATTTTCCTGCTTGATATGCTGGACCCCATCTTCTCCACCTGGCAAGTTCAAGGGCTACTTCCGCAGGAAACCCATCGTAGGTTCCCACAGCCAGAAGCATCCAAGTTCAAAGCAGGCTGCAGGTGGGAGTGTGAGCGAAGGCGCACAATGTGACCTGGAAGTGATGGCCTTCAGAGTTGAACTTTGAGGATTTTTTTTTAACGGGGCTGGAAAAAATTCTGATTTTTGTATTGTAGCTGAAAAATAGAACTGTGACTTTATGTTTCACAGTAGCTAACTGACACTTGTGTCATTTACAGCTCCTCCCAACCTTCCCAAGAACTTTGGGATATTACATTGGGAAAGCATGTTCAGTCTTTGGAGGATGCATTATAATTGGGGAGGTGCGTCATGTCGAGGAAAGGAGCACACTTCCCAGGACCCACCCACTCCCAGGTGCCAAGCTATGACTCACAGCACCCAAACTTTTCCAGGAAAGGACTGTACCATCGTTGTATGAACTCAGACTTCCTAGTGCAGACACAATGACTTCGACAGCTCCTACCTCTCCTGCCATGCTCAGAATAAGACTTGGCAGAGAACAGCTGTTCACTGAATAGTTTCTAGAATGAAAGATATCCTCTTATGCCTAGGAAAGAGTCCCTTATGTATGCATTCACTCGGTCATTCAGCAATATGAAGTGGCTGTTATATTTCAGGTGCTGGAGACACAATGGTGAACTAAGCACTTGTAGTTCCTGTTCTCCAGATTACATGCCAGCGTGTGAGAGAGGCAAGTCACATCATCAGTTAAGTGATGCAAAGTAATGAAAACAAATAGGATGCTCATACAGATATTATGGGGGAATGGGAGGAGGGATAGAGTTTCTGACTCCAAGTCCTCGCTAAAGAAGAGACGTGAAGGAAAAGGAGTAACTAGCCATATAGAAAGTGCAGTAAAAGCCATTCCAGGCAGAGAAAAACCTATGCAAAGAACTCCAGTGCAGATGGAACATAGTAACAGAGACAGAGATCACCTCAAGAAGGGACTGGAAAAGCAGACAGCGGCCACATGGAGAACTCAAATTTATTCGGGGGCTAAAAGCCATTGGATGGTGACCTAGGTTAAGGGTTTGGAAAATCATTCTGCCTAATTTGTAGGAAAAAAATAGGGTAGTGAATGCAGGAAGCTGGAAACAGGGAGATTTAGTGATAATCCAGGACAGGAACTGGCAAACTAAGGCCTGTGGGCCAAATCCAGCCCACCAAAGTCAGCCTTCCATGAAAGAATACCCCTCACCCTCCACTACTGAACACTACACAGGGATGTGGATGCTCAATAAATACCTGTTGAATGGACTCAATCTTCTAAAAGAAAGAAGTAATTAACATTAATTGAGTCCTTCATATCTGCCAAGTTGTTCTGCTCAATGCCCTATCACATTTCATATTCAAACAATACAGAGCAACATTATCTATGTTTTAAGAACAAGAAATCTGAAAAACCTGGGGCTCCTAAAGGTTAAGTAATTTCCCAAAGTCCATACCACTAGTAGTTGTTGGAGCTGGATTTGAACCCATGCCCCTGCCACCACCTCTTATGCCCTTAAACATCTCATCCTGTCATGTCTGAAGTGCTGGCCCCAGGACAGAAAGAAACCATGTGATGGTGGCAATGATGACAAAGTTACAGTCCTAGAGTGTCCTAGAATCACAATTTCCCAAGCTACTCACTCACAGTGGAAATGGGTTGGCTGTGACCCACCCACTCTCTCTTGCCCTAGTAATCAGAGGTTCCCCTGGTCGTGACAGTTCTAAGCACATGACCCTGATTAGAGAGACAGCTCTCTCCACACAAATAGAGTTTGACGGGCAATAGAAAGGGGAGAAGAAATAAATGTCCACAGTGGTATACCCACCAGTCTCTAATGAGATTGAGTTACAGGTTTCAGCAAATATTACTCAATGAAACACAAACCAGCCAAGGTATAAACCACATGGTGAATAAACACCCAGGCAACAAAGAGCATTTCCTACCACAAGCATAACCCCACACAGAGAAGGGCAAACACCACAAAGGCAAAGGAAGAGGGTGTTGAGGGTGGAAGGAGACAAAAATGTGCCTGTGAGCACCACCCTCTGTGACTTCCTTTTTCTCTGAATATAAGACAGCTAGTCCTCCTCTTCCTCAGTGGTCCCTGCTTTCACCCCACCTCAATCACTCACTCCAATAATCCCACCTTAACCTGGTCATTTCCACAACTGCAAATCCTCCATAACCTCAGTTTCTGAGTCCCTCTCTTCAACATCTACCTCCTTCTATCTTTCCAGCTTACCACCCAAGTCCAATAGTTCTCAACTCCAACAGGGCCTACAGCCTATCAGTCTCTCATCACTCATCTTAGACTCTATGGCTCATCACTAAAATCATTCTCAAATCCCTTGCCA